GTATGGAATTTTCAGCATGGATATCGGTAGCCCAAATTTACAGGCCGACCATAGATATCGGTTGTACGCCGGCAGGGGATCGAACCCCGGACCATGTGCATGGTCAGCGAGAGTCCTAACCACTGTGCCACCGACGCACAATAAAGCCGGCAACACCCGGTATTCCCAGCCGGTCACCCATGCAAGTACTAACTGGGCCCAACGTTGCTTAACTTCGGTGATTGGACGAGAACCGGTGCTTGAGGTCTTCTGTTCTAAGACTAGTTTAAAATTTCTGAATTTGGATCTGAACTTGATTTATGTACAGATAATGAAGGATAATAGGCTCTTGTACACTATGTTAGTCCATACAATACACATTACTGTGAAGATCAAATTTCCTTCTGACAGCGTCCACCGACAGAGCCGCTATCTCTCAATCGGGTAAGAAGTTATTGGCGTTGACCACCCTGTTTGGGGACTATTAAATTTACCCATACTCTGCTTGACTGCAGTTTGGCCATCTTTTAGTGGTAATGTTTAGAGGAATCCCAGAAACACAGAATAAGTCATAAATAAACATAAAATACAACTTAGAGGGGAATACAAAATGGCGACGGCTCCCGGGAGACGAAATATGTCGAAGAGAGATAACCTATTCCTTGTGACAAGGAGTTCAGGTAAATTGTAGTGACCACTAAATGACTTTGAGTAAACGGACTTGTCATCAGTCATGAATGCAGTGTTAGTTATGGGTTACACTAAGTCTTTGAGTTAGCGTTAAGCCCGAGATTAGGGCTGGGCTAGGTTCACTAGTTAGGATTAAAGTTTAGGCTGCGATAAGGATCAAGTATTAGGGGAACGCAGAATCGTCCTGCTAAACAGTTCAAATATTTAAATTATTTTGTCATCATCTTTTTATGTCTGTTAGTCTGAATACCTTTACTAATTATATCTATTATTATTATCTCTTTTCTATTGACGACTATACCGAAGGACCAACTGGTGAAAGGATCAACTCCATTCACAGTAGTAACAGTCTTAACACACTTCATACTACAAAACACATACAATTAATCCCTGCACTACTCCTGTTGGAGTCAACCAAAGCTACGGCAGTCGAGTGGCGGGACGAGCTACACAGACGTTTACCGAAGATCAGGAACCTCTACCTCACAATCAAGAGGCGAGCACAAAGAAATCAAATTGGTTTATACTAGCTCGTAAAAGCGATATTGGATATTGGAAGGTCTTTATAGTCCTTTATTCGAGTTGCTTGTAAACATTATTTACAGGCTGCCATGGTTTATTGGAGAAAGCATCAAGCGTAGAGGATGTTCGTCAAGTGTGTAAAGTTTCATTGGACGCTAAATTTGGTAATTGAATTCATCATGAAATTCAGCGAATATTAAAACATAGCGGTTCGCAGGTTTGGAATTTACGATATATCTCACGTATGATCTTTGACTGGGTCTGTAAAAAAAATTATTTCCGTATCATACTAAATTTATAAAAAACGGTGCTGGTGAAGGAGATGAGGCGAAGTTAAACTGTGGGGTTCCAAGGGTGCGAACGCTCATATGGCCTTGAACACATGCTAGTCGTTGACTAACAACACCTATCATTACTACTGCGCAAATATTAACGCTATTCACCAGCTAAGGAGTGCATTTCACTCAGCTGCATTTTTTAAAGTGCTATTTAGACAGTGTGTTAATAGCTTGTTAAGGCTAGGATTTGAGTTAAGGTAGGTCTTAGGGTTTATAACCCTATATAGGTTATAACCTTATAGGATCGAGATTGTCATTAGGATTACGGTTAGGATAAGGGTTTTAATTAGGTTTAGGATAATGTTTAGGGTTACGATTAGGGATAGGTTGGGAGTTGGTATTATTTTCTTTAATTTGTTTTATTATCCACATTTTCCTAGTAAGTAGTCGTTGATCCTCTAACCGGAAACCATAGGAATTCAACCGACAGGATAAGAGCGATACACAGATCACGAAGAAAGCTCATCTTAGGTTACCTCGATGAATACTTGTACAGAAACTGGTTTGGCTTAGAAACTGAAACTCCTCATTATAACTGGGACGTATTTTAAGCCATGTCAGAGAAAGATACCCTGTTTGATGTGTTTTCATGCATTTTGTAACTATAGGTCTTTTTTTTGGGCAAGAACCACTTATTTTTGTGGTTGGTTGGTCCAAGGCCACTCGTGCATTCGCAACTCTTGGGACCTCCTAGTTTAACTTTGCTTCAGATATAAAGTGCATTCACCATAGTTTTAAAGTTTTGTGGTTTATTACCTAGTTATGCCTATAATGCACCGAAGGTAGGCACTTTCTGCAGTTCACTCGAAGTGAATTTCAGCTAGGTAGCTTGCTATCGCTGCGCTTTTAATTTTTTTGGGATCAATGCAAATAAACTAAAAAAGAAACAAAGGATTTCGACAATTAATTCACGCTCTCCGTGACGTCCCATCATTCTCAGGAATTTCTTTATGACATAACTTTCCAATGAGGTTCGGATTTATTAGTTCTTTATTCCAAAATTTAAATCCTCTTTATTAGCTGTGCCATGCCTTTTTTCAATAAGGCAAGACAAAAAGAAGCTGTAGTATCAAAGATATGCGTCGGTGGCCGGGGATCGAACCCCGAACCACATACGTGGTCGGCGAGCATTCTACCGCTGTGCCAGTAATAAGACTGGTAAAGAGGGTAGTAAAAATGCTGAGAATTCCATTCTGTATCACAAGTACTGTTTTGGAATAAAGCAAATTATTATTATTATTAGGTGGGGCAATGGGCTATCAGCACCATTCCGTAAAAATAAACACCACAGTCCTATGTTTCACTGGGAATGTACAGGAATAAAAAAAGTATTAAAGGTGTGGGTTGAAGTTTCCCTGAAAAATCACTGTGTGTGGAACTCATCGTGAAAATTAATATCTAAGGTGATCGTTTTGTGCTACATGTGCGACTTTGCAAAGCGAATCGATGTGCATATATGTGTATGTAGCCTCCAGTCACCTCATGTATATTACTATTCTTCCATTTCCATATTAGTTGATGTGTAGATGTATATCGAAAGTTGATGTATCACTGATTCACATCTCGTGCCTCGATATTTTGCTGTTAAGTGTTGTTAATCGGCACTTCAATAAGTTCGTGTTTTTCTCCACTTATAAACATGTATAATGCTGTAGGGTATTCTGGCAACGTGTCTTTAGTATACATACTTGAATTGATGCCCTCTTCTTTAAGGTTGAGTGTTATTCTACCACACATCTGTACCATGCATTTCATGGTGTCTTTAATGTACCAAGTTCGTCTTGAAATAAGTTAATGAACTATGACAATGATATGTCTTATAATAAACGATAAGTATTATCTCTATTTCAATGTTACCTCCCTATTCACAAATGTTCCAGTCGTTGAGACAGACTATTGACTTTATATGTAGACAAGCTGAAAGCATATCCATCCGAACATTAGTATTGAGGAAATTGTTGCTTTTATGTACTAAAAATGTTCAATTCCAATTCGATGGGCGTCTATTCTGTCCAGCTGGGTATGTGTTGCAATAGGAGAAGCCCCTTGGGACTACTTTTCGCAGATTTATTCTTGTCCTACAGTGTCCTTACTAATCCCCGCTTATAGCTTATAGTTTGCTGACAATAAACTGAAAGTTCTAGTCATACAGAATGATCATCAACTTGTTTTTAACTGGTTCACACTATTAACATCGATTAGTTTCATCCTAGTTTTTAGATCCTTAAATAGCTTGCATCTGGTTGTATGAGTAGTCCACGTTGAATAATCACTGAATAAATTCTAAACGTGGTGTTACCTTTGGTTTCCGTCGTTTTCAGTGCACACAGAGTGAAGAGGAAGTGAAGAGCCATCAAGTAGAGGAGTTGCATTAGTAGAAGGAAGGCAACATAATAGAGATGAAGATGAAGACAAAGATGAGTGATGATTAGAGAGGTTTCGCGTGCACTTCGGATTGTGAGGGCGATTGTTACTTCCCGGCTACCCACACCGTGGAAGTTGGTTGCGTGACCGCAGAGCCCAAGGGACAACTGCTTGAGGCCGGTCACACACGGCCTGTTATTGTTTGTTCTTTTTTATTTGATGTGTCTCAGTAGCATATTTATCACTTCTGCCCTGTGACCCGGCAGCAGAAAGCGCGGTCGTTGTTAATCCGGGCCCCGACCAATCCGGCATGATATTTTGTGATTTACTTTGAGTCATAGCATTGGGTTGGGTAACTGCTTTTTGTCTGACCGCTATCCAAACAACCTTTCTGGCATGGTAGGACCTCAAGCGACGTAGGTCTCAGCCAGTATAGCTTGTTCGGTCATTGCGGTGTTCAAGCCCGACCACCACGTCAAGGTAGCAGCTTTCGGTTGGGGGATGGGCTTCACATTCACATTCAGAGTCTACAAGTTGGTGAAAAACTATTGGATGAAATACCAAATATTCCATATCTAAAGATGTAGTAACTGTTACTCTATGCACTATATTTGATCTAAAACGAGTTCTTCGTAACTGTGAATAACTCAGACTTTTTATTTATCTCTAATTACTCTTTACCTAGACAAAACAAAATGAGAAGATCTGCAGCACCTAGTCGCTTAAGTCAATCGTCAATTTCATCACCTCAAGATCTACAATTGAGAAAAACGTATGAAAACAAACCAGCTTCACTTAACGTCTCCAATACTTCTAAACAATCTGATGTTGTTTCACACGATTCAAAGACTTATAGATATTTTGAGGCTGTTTATGCTAAAACATCAAGTAAAAAGGTAAAAAATGAGTCTGATTCCATCATTCACTTCAATTCTAGCATAAAAAATGGGAAGGTGATGGTAGGAATTATTAATCTTATCCTTATTTATTATGTGCACATATACCTGTTGCATTATTTAGGTTTCGTTGAAATTGACGGTCGTATGATAAAACTGATGAATGAAGATTTGAAAGTGTATGTCCTTTGCTTTTTGGAAGTTGAAGTGAATTTATAAATTTTTTGTTTTGGTTTTTGTAGAGTGGCATCAACTTCTAGTCATAAATTAGCCTTTTTAAATGATATAGATATTGGGTCAATTGTTCATATAGGCTCTTATGAAGCAGAACTTATATCATATGCAGAAAAACATCACTTGATGAATAAGTCTGCTTTGAAACCAGTGGAAGTTACTGAAAAGGTGAATGCCAGAGGTAATATTTATGTACTTTCTTACTAAGCATATTTTCTTTTCCCTAGAGACTTCAATCAGCAAGCCAAATACAAAGTCTACTGCATGTTTGCCTAAGGTAAGGTACTGTTTCTTAAATATTTTACTGCCCTTCTCCTAAGTTTTATGTACAAGTTTGGTTTTTATTTAGTCATTCGTGTATACATCTAATGAATGAATGGTGGTTATCCACGGATGTCTAATCGATGTTTCTGTGGTGACTTCTGTAAGCACCAAATTTGAATTCAGTTTACAGTTTAGTGGAGTTATTATATGTAAGGCAAAGGAAGCTGTGTGTCGGACCACGCAGGTGGTCCGGGATTCGATCCCCGGCCACCGACGCACTCCTTTACCTCTCTAAGCCAGTAATAAAAAACTGGTAAAGAGGGAAGGTTGGGCATGAGGCTAGCAACCGCATCCTGTAAAAATAATCACCACTGCTACAGAAACTTCAAGCTGGCTCTAGCTTGAAGCCCTATGTTCCACTGGGAACGTAAAGGAATAAAAAAAGAAGCTATCACGGCAAATTTGTTTGCATTTTTATAGAATCAAAAGATACGATTGTAAGTCTTCGTAATGGACACAGAATACGAGTTATGTAACTAAATAAATAGCAAGTCATTTCACAAATCAATAATATTGTTTAAATTCTTATATTACCTACCTGTCTTTAAAAGGGTGAGGTTATGGGTCATTCACAAAAGGGTCTTTGGAAACCTTGAGAGCTGTTCGTCAACTTTTTGACCTGAATGGCAAGTTAATATGACACCCTTAACGGGAACTAAAGAAAGCTAAAGTGACATGAGAAATAGCGAAAATTCACTTAACTCGAAGGATGGTATCTCAACATTAGTAGTAAAATTGACTTAGTTATTGGATAATGTGCGGCAACCTGTAATGATTCATGCTGATTAATAGTGGATAAAGGAGAGTGATCTTCAGGATGGTTTCGTGTGCTTTTGGAAGTGTGTGGGTGGTTGTCACTTCTCGGCTGCCCACACCGTGGAAGTTGATTTTTTTTCCAGTTACCTGAAACAGAAAGAGAATTAGTGTTGTGTGACCGCAGAGCTCAGGGGACAACTGCTAGAGGCCGGTCACACACGTCTGTATGAACTGGTTTCTTGGATTGGTTCCGTATTAGTAAGTTTACCACCGGTTATGGACCACTGTAGGGTAAGTCGGGATGTACAATTGTTGGGGTTGACCTTTGCTAACTCCCTCTCTCCCAGAGTAGGGGGGCAGCATAGGTGGGTGGAATGCTGTTCATCTGAGGGAAACACCTTACTGCGGCTGTTACATCCCTATTGCCCAGCAGTACGACTTTACCCACAGACCCCAGCAGAGTGTAACAAATAAGAAATCTTACACTATGCTGGTAACTGTTTTTAGTCTAATCGCTATCCTCACAATCTTCCTGACATGGTAGGACCTGAAGGAACATTAGTTCCAGTCATTATAGCATGTTGGGTCATTGCGATATGCAAGCCCGGTGACCACCACGTTGAGGTAGCAGTTATCGGTTGGGTATCAGTCAGTGAAATCCACAAGTTAGTTTAAGCCACGTAGGAAGATGTAGACTTCCTGGTTGGGGTCCTCGGGACGGTAGAAACCAGTGACTGCTGGAGACAATTGGTGATATGGCTCAAAGTGATCGTTCTCAATGGCTGGCTCAGATGCATCCATTCCTTGTGACTTATAATACCCAATGAAGCTATATTGTTCTTTGATATTATTATTCCTTTGTCTCATATCTCTTTTTACTGTCTCTATTATGCATTTCTTCTACTTTCTTCACTTGTTTTGTGTGCTACAAGGAGTGAGTGTGGCGACTTGAACTACTACACATCGGTGCAAAGTTCTATGTCGAAAGCAGACTGACAGGAATACTGTCTACCGGTTGTAGCGACTCCCTACAGTAGATATTGTTAAATGACAGATATTTTACAAAATATACTTTAATTATTTGATTCCATTTAGACAATTGAGAGAGACTTTGATATACTGTTAGCCCAGTGTTCCCCCATTAAAGACCAGGTACTGCTGAGGATAGGTAGACTTCGGTCTTCCCCTCGAAATGATCTCATGTGTCCACGGGTTCACAGCCTCTGTCAGATAAGTCTTATTCACTTCCTTCACGTGGTGGAGGTGTTCTTCGCAAAAGTGATAAGGCGAGTGTGAACTTCTGACGCTTACAACCGGATTGGTAGACATGCTGTAATCTACCTAGGGGAGCTGGAAAATCCTGATTTCAAGCCCATGGCGTGTGTACATGTGCTCTAGAATCCAAAAGGATCGAACAGCATATGAACCAGTTTTGGCCACCACCGACCATCGGAAAAAACAGCTCCTGACGCTTCCCCACTACTTTATGGATCAAACTTCAAGTCGAAGGTTCTGGGGGGTGGGTGGAACAGACCACTTAAGAACTGTTCATTGTCGTCTGGGCAGTATCTCAGGCCCTCGCATAAACTATGAGATTTTATGCGGCGTATCTCTTGGTGGTACCCACAATGTACCAAATTTGTGTTTTAATAAAATAAAGTAAAATCAGCCCTTTGTTCATGTTGTTGTCAATCGCTTATACGTTGTTTCATTCATTATCTTTCAGCCTTCATCTATGCCAAAACATGATGAGTCTAATAATGATGTTGCTTCAAATCAATTAGTTATGCCTAGACCACCTGCTAACTGTATTGTAAGTTTTGGTGATATAATTCTGCTCTAAAAGTGAATTATTTGCTTTTTTATTTATTTTCTTCCACTCTTCAAGAAAGTACTACAATTCAAGCTTTTATAATCTACCTAGTTGTTGTATTATCGTACTGTTTTAACATTTTTTTTGCATGATATTTGATTGTTTGAGTAGAGATATGTGGCTAATTGGCTTGAGTACTTGACTTACAGGCCTTTAAGTTCAGATTTCGAGTCCCACTTCCCTTAAACTATAAATCCTTCCAAATGTCAGACTGTTAATTTCAGTTTCTGAAAAGAGGTGTTATGACCCTTGCAAAATTGATGATACTGATATAGAAATCAAGTCTGGAGTTAAGTATCTTGGATTAATTCTCTCTTCTGACCTATCTTGGTCTTCCCATGTCTTGGCGATTTCTAAAAGAATATTTCGTTTGACTTTTTACATTAAGAAGTTAAGGCACTCCTCTTACAGTTTGTCAACTCGTGTATTTTACCTATTCTTCTTTACTATTCACTCTTATTCTTTCCTGGATTGCTTAAAAAAGACTATGTCATACTTCGTAGAACTCTGAAGACTGTCAGTAGGGCGAGTGGTATCCCATTGGGCCATATCGTTGACATTGTCACTGATAGGCACTTGATGTCATGCAACATATTTGCTAAAGGAATTTTGTCAGACTGTGGGCATCCACCACAGCACCCGCAGCTTCCACCTTGTGTCTCCTCAGGTAAAACAAGAAGTCTTTTCAGAAGACTTTATGCACGTACGTCTAAGTATAAAACTTCCACTATACCATATTTGGCGGCACGTATTTTATGTGATGAAAATAGTGTCAGGCATGAACTAACTAACCTTCTTTGCACTAGTAAATAAACCATTTCCTCCACCCTTACAACATCAACCTTAATTGTTATTGTACTTCTTATATTTATAATCCTCTCAATATTTTGTTTTTATTTTTTCATAAGTGTGAACATCATTTAAGCTGTGTTATAACTGTTAATTTTGTATTTCCCCTCACCATACTGCTATATCAACAGAACATTAGATTCAATAATCTATAACATGCTAAAATTTCCAAACTGAATCGACAATACTGTTTGAAACAAACTCACTGTTATTATTATTATTCTCAATTCGTACTTCGAATATTTTTGACTTTATACCGTAAATGTGGACAAATTCCTGTGGTTAATTTTATTTATATTTTGAGTAAATTAGATGCAATATTGTGACAAATGCTGAGAATTCCATTCTGTATTAGAAGTACTGTTTTTGGAATAAAGTAGATTATTATTATTAGTTCAGCCTGGGCAACTAACTGGATAGATAGCCCTCAAATAAAATAATCGTGGTTAACAGACTGGTACTTGAAAAATCAGTACCGAGTAGGTGAATTCAAACAAATCAATAAGTAGCGTTGTAGAATATCTGTTGTTGTTGTTGGGACGCATTTACCTAGAACAACTTCCTCATGTACCAGGCTATGAGCCACATAGTTATTGTGTATGGGGTGGTTATGCTACTCAGTTGGAGTGGGACTCGAACCCTGGACTCATCGACTGAAAATCGAATGCTTAAGCCAATGAACCACATAATCATAGAATGTCTAAAGTTAGATATATAGTTAATGTATTGCATAGAACTGTGAATCATTGATTTAGGCGCTCGACTTCCAACCAGTGAGTGGGTCATGGGTTCGAAACCCGCCCCACTTACTTAGGTCTGAGCGTCCAGCTAGTATCACCAGTCCTCACACACAATAGGTGTGGCTCATATCACTAATAGTCTCAAGCTATTGATTCTTAGCACCCCAAGAACCCCAACCTAGGCAGTCTACACCCTCCTGCGTAGCTGGCTCAAACCAGCAGTCAAATTCCTCATGGAATGTTTTCAGGTTTTGATGTGACTACTCTTAACTTTTTTCCAACCTAATCTCATGTCAGCCAACATTGCTCGACGAGATGATGGCTGGGTATGTGCAACACGTCTCCTAGCCATCTCAATCGATGTAGCTTCACAACCTGGTCTGTTTACTTCCCTTCCTTACCTAACACTCGCGGTCTGACCTCGATACTACTTACTATACTATACCATTTAGCGCAGGAGATAGAACGCAGCCTCCTATGATGAAAGACAGCTAGCCGGCCTTTTCATTTCTTCCACTTTCAGTGGCTATGTCCTACAGCCATAAAGGAGGACGGAGCGGACTACTGCGCAGTAAACACACACACACACGTCTTTTGATGGGTAGCTGTATATCATGTGTATGCCAGAGATGACATAAGTTAACAGATACCACTGGTACCTTTATATCCGTGATTTTATCCAATGCAACAGCAAAGATTTCGGCATACCGATCCATTATCTAAAGGAGCTGTTACTGCATTGTACCTTCAACGTCTACTTCAGATTCAACGATGAAATATACAGGCAAACAGATGACGTAGCAATGGGCTCTCCACTTGGACCCCTCTTGGCCGACTGTTTTATGGCCAGCCTTGAAAACAACTCCTTGTCATCAACTATCGACGACCTCCATCTCTACAAGAGATACGTTGATGATACTTCCATCATTTGTGATGAGAACCTGAACCTTGAAAATTTCAAACCTTCAACAATGCCCACCAAAACATCGACTTTACTCTTGAAGCTGAATCCGACAGGATGTTCCACTTCCTTGATGTTCATCTGACAAGAAACGCCGACAACCCTCAGAGACGTTCCATTTACAAAAAGCCTAAATGCACTGGACAATTCATCAACTTTCAAAGCTTCGTGGCCCTCAGCAGAAAGAGGAACCTTATATACACTGTTTCCTCGAGGATTCGGAAGATATGCAGCGAGGAAGTGATTGATGAAGAACTGAGTAATCTCCGAGGAACCCTGATGGAAAACGGTTTTCCGCTTAGGTTCATAGACAAGAATCTGAAGAATCAAAGAAGTCTTCCGAACAAGTTCAATCAGTCCCGAAGAAGATACCTCTGCTTAATCTAGAATTCAAAGGTAACAGTGAAGCAGAAATCCGTTGTAAACGCCTCTGCAAATCTCTGAGGAAGACATACTTCGCCGCGAGCCTACGACTGACATTTTCCTGCAAGAAACTGTTCAGCCAGGATGCGAAAGACAAGTCGTCACATTGGACCACTTCAATGTGCATATACCAGTTTACTTGCACTTGTGGAGCTGAGTACATCGGCCGTACCATGCACCAACTTGGAAAACGCACTCGTGAACACTATCCAGCCTGGCTAGTTAAAGGAGAACGAAAACGTGTATACAGTTCAGTGACAGAACACCTAGTCAACTCAGAACATTCAGTGCTACTGAAAAAATCCTTCAAAATAATATACAAGATTCGATCAAATCTATCAAAGGAATTGAAATTAAGACACCTGAGCATAGCCGAGGAACTAGCCATCCAAAAGCTCAAACCCACGCTATGTATCGAAAAGAAATGCGTTCAACCCTTGTCCCTGCCGTGGCCATCATAAACAGGTAATTCTTTTAATAGTGACTATCCCATCGCCTTTCTTATCCAAACTACCTGCTTATTCATGTTATTTTAAAGTTTTTCTTAATCCCTCCACTATTTACACTACCATATTTTTATATCCGAACTTCCTGTCTAATTTGTCATTTTATTATTTCTACATATTTAACCGCTGACTGCATAAACAATTATTCGTCACATTAGTTATGATCCCACTAGATTTTGTTATCCAAACATCCTGTCTATTTTTGTTATTTCTACATTTCTAGCCCCTAATTGCACAATATGTCAATCTTCTTAGTTATTATAATGCTACTTTGTTTGAGTTTTATCTGTCTCCCTCCCCCTGTTTATTATGGTATTTTAATTCCGAATTGTAATTATATTAGTAATTGTAAATATGTTTACGTCACAGCGGATATATTTCACTTTTATATTAGTTATGAATCATTTTGTTCCCTTAAAATATCAGAATAATTTTTATGCCTTTCGTTTCTCTAATTACTTTTTTTTCCAGTGGTCTCAAAATCCTGATTGTTTGCCTATCGTAGATGTCGCTTTAGAATCAAAATTCGCTTCACGTCTACAACCTCATCAACGTGATGGTGTTATCTTTCTGTATAAATGTTTAATGGGCTATCAACCTTATGTTGCTATAAATGATTCTATTACAGGAAATATTTATGGGTGTATCTTGGCGTGAGTTGTATTTCTTTGAAAGATGTTGTTTTTTTTAATCCCAAATAAAAATGTTACTTTGTATTCTCTTGTGTCACTTTACACACAAGAAACATGGATATGGCTTTGCAGACAGACAACAAATGGGTGGTGGTACACCACTTTTATGCCAATAAATCTTATGAGTGTGATTCTTTGAAAATAAGTTCTGAAGTTCTACTACTGTATGAAAGCGGTATGTCAAACTTGTCATCTTGTGCGATCCAAGATGCGCATTTCGTCCTGTTTGGTGGGCCTCGTTAGCCTGGTGTAACCTGCATTCTCCGGGTGTGATTGATGATGAATTATACCCTAAAGGCAAGGATCAGCACCTCTCTCGATATTTTAGTACTACTTATTGCTTTATGTATTTAAAAATACAAGCTTGGCACAAATATGAGCATTTGCGGATACCCTACACAAGGGATGAATGCGTGATCAATGCATGCACAAGCCAAACGAAATCCGATGTGCTCTTCTCAAAAATCGATTCCTCACAGCCTGTGGATCATGATATTCATAATATTCCTTCTGGCCTGCTATTTGATTTTCAGTATGGGACCAGCGAAGGCAGCTGTTGACAAAAGTCTATAACTTGTTGGAAACCCTTTTTTTTGTGATGCGTGAGTCAAGTTTCTGACCCATATAGAAGAACTAACTGACTTGACATTTGTGTTGAACAGAATCTGAATCTATCTTGTTGTTTATGCTGAGTTATTGCAGAAGATTTCCAAACCGGTTTCAGGTTGACGAAGGTGTATCTTGCCTTTTCGATTCTGACTGGCTGACTTTGACATCTTCATCCGTTCCACCTGACTGTGGTTGAAACCGTGCTTCCTGTCCAGATAAGTGAAGGAGGTAACCTCTGTCAAATCTCTCCCCTTGATGGTGATTGGTGCTGGTTGTTTTTGCTGTTAGTATGTGGTTGGTTGGTTATCTGCATCACTTCCTCCTCCTCCATGTTCACCTAGAGTCCTGTCTTCGCTGCCAGCCAGCTTCTTCAGCCAGTTTGTTGGTTTTCGCCTGCTATTCTTCGAGTTTGTGTGACATTAGACAAGCATATGTTGTGAATTGGCAGAAGTTAGAATTCAAGGACCATTGGATCAGATCCCAGTGGCTCAATGGTCTACGAGCTCGCCTTGTAACCAGAAGGAGCTGGGTTCGAATTCCGGTGGGTGCGTACTGCTGAAGGGTCCTAAACTAGGACGATACAGCTGTCCAGTACTCCCAGGTTTTCCAGTGGTTCTCTCCCTGATGTCAGCTCATGATGAAATCCTCCATGCAATCAAACAAAATCCCTACAAGACCAGTACTTGAAAATAAATAATCCACACGCGAAATCCCGATCTTCTAGAGTCTTCGTATCAGTCAGTTTAGAGTATTCCTGTATCCTCGCTCCCAAGCACAGTCTGACGCATAATCCAGGCTACCTCAATTAAGAATATCGTCAGTGATAATAGACAGACAGCCTTGTCTCACTTCTCTATTCACCTCGAACGCCTCGCTGAGTTTTCCGTTGTGGATCACCTGACACGTGGCCTCATTGTCATATAACCAGCTGTTGAATGGGGTTGATAATGACTTGGGCACTGCATACAGTAGTGTTGAAGCAGTCTCCAGATTACTTCTCTGTCAACACTGTCTGTCGAAGGCCTTTTCAAAGTCGATGAAGCTATTGAGGTAGAGGGTTTGACTGCCATGCTATGCTTTGTTCTGGTCGGTGGAGCGGAGTTCTGTATCCAGTGCATCTTTCATTCTCTTCAGGATGATGCGACTTAGTATTTTACTTGGCGTGGACAAGTTCCGCCAGAGGCGTAAGTCGAAAGGAATGCATTCTTTGTTTACTAATCTCAATCTTTTGTAAGTAATAATAACGGTCATCTTTAATTAATTATAATAATTTAATTTGTTTTATCAGTGTTAATTACAATTTGTATATTTAAAAAAAATAATTTTCTTTATCATTATTATTTTTACTACTTTTAAAGAGATGAAATGGGTCTTGGTAAAACAGTTCAAGCGATTGCTGTGATATGGTTATTAATTAAACAAGGACCATACGGTAATCGACCAGTTATTCGACGTTGTCTAATTGTTACACCCGGTACACTTGTTCAGGTAATTTGTGATACATTTCAGGCGTGGGGTGGGGTGTTGTGCTGGAGATCCCTTTTTATATTCCTATTATTGTTATGTGATAATAAGCATAGCTGTGTTAATGAGTCGGCTTTTCTAGGGATTTGATTGGTTACAGATCTGGTCACGAGTTGATATCAGTTAGAGGACTATTGGAAAATAAGAGAGTACTAGACAGATGTTTCGTCCTAGTTTGAGACTCTTCAGCACTATGATGAACCCTCCAAGGTCTGAGCCCTGGACCTTCCGGTGACAAGATGAGATCTCGTAGATCGTCCATGAATTCCAACTTCTGCCAAACTGATTTCAGCTCATGATAAAATCCTGTAACCAATTAATCCGATACTCACTAATGACTAACTCTGGCTGTATACAGGATTCATTGGGGTTCTAGTGAAAAGTTGTAATCAGCGGGGTCCAGCAAGTCATGCGAGAGAACAGTTACTCTTCTATAGCGTTGGCTGGTGGTTGCTGCAATTATCGCGAACTGTCAGGAGGTGGAATTCATGGGAGGATTGAATCAGATCCCAGTAGCTGAATAGTCTACGAGCTCGTCTTTGTTTCTTCTACAAGTGGTGCGGATAAAGATATCAAAGCCAATCAGGATGGAGGAAAGGACAGGGGAGTCGTTTCTTAATGCAAAATCAATATGGAGATCTACAGCACTTATCACGAAGGAGAAGATCCGAATTTTGTTTGATACTAATGTCATGTCATTCAGTGCTTCTGTATATTCTGGAGATTTGGCACAAGAGTCACGAAAAACACTTCCAATGGGGTAATGCAAACGTTCATCAGTAGGTGTGTAACAACAGAAGACAAGGGCCAGGCAACAGATCCTTTATTTAGAAAATCAACAGATATTTACAGATTTTCATGTACATTATTATAGATTATTTCAAGCAAACACAGTCTTCTGATTGGTGGTGGTTTCTCGTTGAACGTTTATCTTTCATCTCTTTGTGGCCGTTTCTTGAAGTTCAGATTATCTATCTGCAAATTATATCCGCCTACGCAAAGTCTGCTGTGGTTAGTTGTTGAATCAGCCTTTGTTCTTATTTTTCTCACGATCAATATTGAGGACATAAACATTGACGTAAATTACTGTCTACCAATTTTGGCTAGTAGTCAGCTCTCACCACAGGTGTCTACGTTCAGTAACTGGAGATCAGATGGCCAGCCAGAAAAAGATAAGTTACGAAAAACCTTGACACTGAATGGTTTCAATGTGGAACTTTGCACAAATGTGCAACAGTTTGAGCTGCCACACTCCCTCCATGTAGCACACAAAGCCAGTGAAGTTGGTAAAGAGAGATCCATTAACAGAGAGGTGATAAACAGAAGTGTGAGTTAGGGGGAAAAGAATAGTAATATGGAAGAACAACAGAATCTTATTGGATATTGTAAATCACATGGATTGGATGCACCTGCGCCAACCATTGAGAACAATCATTTCGAGCCATATCACCGCTAATTGTCTCCAGCCTTCATTGGTTCTTGACATCCTGAGGACCCCGAGCAGTCAGGAAGCCAAGTAGTCTACACCTCCCTACATGGCCAGCGTAAACTAACTGCCGTGGATTTCATTGACTGACATTTCACTGACTCTGATACCAAAACAGCAAAAATCTAATCACCAAGAAATATTCAGAGGAATATGTGAAGGTAGGAGACCATTGAGTGATGTCACACACAAAGCAGATCCTGGAGTTGAAACCGAATGGTAAAAAATGGGTTGCATTCCCGAGGGTGACATGGAGGAGGTTATGTGAATAGGAGGAAATGAAAGCTTTCAGGCAGTTGTGGAGCCAGCCAACTGAAAATGATGTTAAACAACTGAGAGTGTCATGGGGGGATGTACTGTTGAGGCCGAATTTTGCACTCGGAACTCAAGGAATAATAATAATATTGGACGGCATGATTTTATTTCTTTTCTTTATTTCTATGTAGAATTGGTCGAAAGAATTTTCCAAGTGGTTAGGTCGTGAACGATTACCTATATACTGTGTTGATCAAAATCATTCTGTAAAGGTAAGTATATATTTTACTTTATAATCTGATTATTTGCTTTTTCTGGTGACTGTTTTGCCCACATAGCATCATTCACTGATGATGACTGACTGACTAACTGACTTTTGAAAGTGTAGCGAAGCAAGAAGATGAAGGTGACAAGGATAAAGGAGGATGATGACCAGGATGGCTTCTTGTACCTTTGTAAGTGTGTGGGCGGTTGTTAATTCCCGGCTGTCCACACCTACACCATGGAAGTTGATTCTGACTGACTGGTTTCAACATAGAACTTTGCACCGATGTGCACCAGTTCAAGTTGCCACACTTCACTCAGCACACAAAGCCAGAGGAAGACAAGAGGAAGAAAGTAAAAAGAAACGCAAAAATAGAGACAGTAAATTGGGATATGAGGCAAAAGTAATAGTAATATCGAAGAACAATATAGTCTCATTGGAAATTATAAGTCACAAGGAGTGGATGCATCTGCGCCAGCCAGCCATTGAGAACAATCACTTTGAGCCATATCACTAACTGTCTCCAGCCTTCATTGGTGTTTACCATTTCGAGGACCCCAACCATTCAGTCAGGAAGTCTACACCTGCTTACGTGGCTTCAACTAGCTGTTGTGGATTTCATTAACTGATGAAGCCACGTTTTCGTTTGACCGCCAGCCTGATCCTTTTTTAGCTAACATTGCCCATCGAGGAAAATGATGACTAGGCATGCGTAACACATGTCCTCACCATCTCAGTCGATATAACTTCACAGCCTCGTCGATTGATTTCCCCTTCCCACCTACATAGCACTCGACTAATGCCTAACCTCAATATTGCTCAGCTTATTATACCACTTCACACGGGAGATAGAATGCAGGCACCTATGATCAAAGACAGCTAGTCGGTCTTTTCATGTCTTCCACTCTCAATGGGCAGGTCTCACACCCAGCCACATAGGAGGATAGATCGGACTGCTGAGCAGTACACATCACACATCCTTTGATCGACAGCCAGCCGGATAAAACATGTACACTAGAGAAGGGGTAAACTTGCATATGCGAAACTAGCCCTCTGTATCGGTGCTGAGAATTCGTCAGCGATCAACGCCACTGGGCTGGCTGATGCAACTTCCCAAATAAGTGAAGTGGTCAACACGCGCATCACCAACCACTTCACTCCCTTTTTCTAAGCTAGGAGTCAATGTAGTCCAGTCCTGTAACATCGTCTTAAATTTGACAGCAGGAGAGAATCGCATGGAAAACATTCGCAGACTGCAACTCACGGCGTTCAGAAGATTCTGCATTTTGTCAGCGTCTTTACCTAGGAGGGAGGACTATATTATCTGCATATTCTAAGTCAACCTGATTATTCCCTGGTGGTAAAAAGTCAATCAACCTCTGAGTCGCTGAAATCAGTTAGGGTTAAGTTCATTAATACGTGTATGATGAAATTAAGCAGAAATGAGAATAGTGGTGGGCATCCCTGTTGATTCATTCTTGGTGTAACTAAAACAGAAAGAGAATTAATGTTGCGTGACCACAGAGCCCTGGGGACAACTGCTTGTAGCTGGTCACACACGGCCTGTATGAACTGGCTTTTTGGTTTGGTTCCGTATTAGTAAATTTACCGCCGGTTACGGACCACCGTAGGGTAAGTTAGGATGTAAAATTTTTGGGGTTGACCTTTGCTGACCCCCTCTGTCCAAAGTGGAGAGACAGCTGGAGACAGGCTGGAATGCTGTTCATCTGAGGGAAACACCTTACTGCGGCTGTTACATCCCTATTGCCCAGCAGTACGACTTTACCCAGAGACCCCAGCAGAGTGTAAAAAATAAGAAATCTTACACTATGCTGGTAACTGTTTTTAGTCTAATCGCTATCCTCACAATCTTCCTGACATGGTAGGACCTGGAGGAACATTAGTTCCAGTCAGTGTGGCTTGTTGGGTCATTGCAATGTGCGAGCCCGGTGACCACCATGCTTCAAGTTAGCAGTTATCGGTTGGGATTCACTGACGATAGAATCCTGGACGTCAAAAGATATAATAGAGCTTTTTGTGGCCACCGTTGACTGTCAGTAAGTCAGTAAGTAATTTGAAACTTGATAATTACCCGGATAAATTAGTCAGGAAATATGTAGGGAAATGTGAAAATAAAATCAATAATGATAGTAGCGATAGTGATAGTAATAATATTAATGACGACATGCATGTCAAGTATACACAGAATTATGATAACACCAACAATAAGGAATTTAAATCGTTGGCAGTACTTCCATACAAATAAGGAACTTCGCAAACCACCTTACGGAGAATTCCTAACAAGGCAGGAATAAAAATAGCATTCAAATCCACAAACTCAATTCGAAACAAGCTTTGTCGGTTAAAGGATCCTGCCAGTGGAGCCTTTAAAACAAAACAATTTAGTTTACCTAATACCCTGCCTGCAATGATTGTCAGGTCAAATACATAGGTCAAACTAGTAGAACAGGGGCAGCCAGACTAGCTGAACATAAAAACCTAGCAAAATCTAGATTGGTTGACCCGAATAAGATAAAAAATCTAGAGAATAGTTCAGCTATAGCATTCACTACATGCAATTACACACAACCATACAACAGGATGGGATGTCAGAGGGTGGAGGGAGAGATTGATAACAGAAGCTTTGTTTGTCGAATCAACTGGGAGAGAATACATGTAATAGGAATGATTCAACACCTGTCCCAGATATCTAGAAAATTCTACCACCCCAACGATGACACATAGAAGACAAAGAAAACTATAAAACTCAAGTTTAAAAGTCATGTGATTACAATTAATATGATTATGAACAATAAATAGATTTTGTTCGAAACGTCATCCAGTAAATAATACTGTTTCTTCACTGTGTGATACATCGAATAAACAAACTAATATAGAATTATAATACCAATTAAATGTTTTTTCCAAAATTATTTTTTCTGTGTTTAAGGTTTTTTTTAACGAAGTCGTTGACTAGGCTGTACATTCATGAATATACAAGAGATGGATGAGAAAGTTCAGGGACTATATCCGATCAAGGGTCAAGTAATAAGGGATTATAAGATTACTAATAGGGATTAAAGACTTAACAATAACAATAATAAACAGAAAGATGTGGCATTGAGCCACACCGACATGTATATACCAGGTCATACTTGCTCCTGTGAAGCTGAGTACAATGGCCGTACTATGCGTCTGCTTGCAAAACGCTCTTGGGAACAGTATCCAGCCTGGCGTGTATTATAACTCAGTAACAGAAAATCTTGTGAACTATAGGTAACTCATCTCCATTTGAATTGTCCTTCAAAGTCATATACGAGGTCCAATCAAACCTCTCAAAGGGAGTGAGATAAAGACACCTGGGCTTAGATGAAGTATTAGCGATACCCAAAAAAATGAAAGCCAACGCAACGCTCTACCATCTAAAAGAAGTACCTCCAACCTTCATCTTTACCATGGCCAGCATAAACAGTCAAATTCGCTCAATAATTATTATACGATTACATCTCTTATCCAAGCTTCCTGTTTATTTCTTTAATTCCTATTTGTAATCTTATTATTCGTTATCATTCAACCTTCGATTGGAAATAGTTCTGGAACTTTCTCACGGATGTACAGCCTAGTTGATGATGTCGTCGATAACTAGATTTTCTTTGTTGCAACCGTCGTTTTTTGTATTTTTCCTATCGTCTAATGTGAATATTCCGCAAATGTTTCTCTCTCTCTAGAATTATTTAACAACAACGGCTGCCAATCGTCCTCAAATTCTTCTTATGTCTTATGAAATGTTTCTACAACATGCTAATGAGGTGTATACAATTACTGATTTAGATATGGTTGTATGCGATGAAGGGCATCGGTTGAAAAATTCTAACATAAATACGACGATGGTATGTTCCCTTCTTTTTTAAAATTTAAAACAGTAACAGTGGGATACTTTATTTTTTGTTATTATTATTTTTATTATTCAGTCACAAACTTGGTAAATTACGGGTACCACCAAAACATGCACCACAGAAATTCTCACAATTTGTTCGAGGACTAGTATTCAGCCCGGCTACCTAAGGGCTTATGGGGAATTGTCATCTGAACTGATAACAACCAGTGGTGTCCGTCAAGGATGTCCACTTTCCCCTTTTCTGTTTAACTTCATCATAGATATGCTAATGGAAGTATCCTTAACTGAACTTAACGACTTAGGAATCGACTTGTTACCAGGGAATAGTCTTATGGACTTAGAATACGTAGATGACATAGTCCTGTTAGGGGAGGATGCTGACAAAATGCAGAGTCTTCTGAACACCTTGAGCAGCAATCTTCGTAAGTTTGGCATGCGATTCGCCCCTGTAAAATGTAAGATGCTGCTACAGGACTGGACTACGTCAACTCCTAGCTTAGTGATAGGGAGTGAAGTGATAGAACATGTTGACCACTTCACCTATTTAGGAAGTTGTATCCGCACCAACGGATTGATTGGTGACGAAATCTCAGCACGGATCCAAAAAGCTCGGGCTGCTTTCGCTAACTTACACCGTCTCTGGCGTAGGCGTGACATCCGGCTATCAACCAAGGGACGTGTGTACTGCTCAGCAGTTCGCTCCGTCCTTCTCTATGGCGGTGAGACGTGGCCATTGAGAGCGGAAGACATGAAGAGATTGTCTGTTTTTGACCACAGATGTTTACGATCTCTTTCTCGCGTTAGGTGGTATAATAAGGTAAGTAATGTTTACGTTAGGCGTAGAGTGTTGGGCAAAGAGGGAAAATCAATCGAAGAGGCTATAAAGTTACATAGATTGAGATGGCTAGGTCACGTGCCGCGCATGCCTAACCATCGCCTCCCTCGACGGACGGGTATTACTAGCAGACTGATATAGGTGCAGGTTGGAAAAGAGTAAGTGGTGGCCAAACAAAAACATGGCCTCATCAATCCATGAAATCCTTGACAGTTAAACTGAGTCAGGTAGGGGCTGAGATGCAGACTTCCGGGTTGGGGCCCACCCTCGGGACTCTAAGAATCAATGGCTGGAGACAGACAATAGGTGACATGGCTTAAAATCCTCGTTGTCAATGGCTTACGCAGATGTATTCAGTCTCTTTAACCTTTCATATTCCTTTCTACCATAACTCATTCTGTTTCACTCTTATATTTGTCAAAACTCTATTGATTCTCTTCAGTCATCTTCTTCTTGTCTACCTTTGTGTGCTATTTGGAACGTGGGAACTCGAACTGCTGCACTTCGGTGCCAAGTTCTATGTTGAATCCAGCCAGCCAGTGGCCACCTAAACCGACGCAGGCAGTTGTCTTAACGAGCCATCCGTCCATCCACGGCATCTTTGACTTGATGTCTTATTGTTATAACTGAACTGAATAGACGCTGTGGCTACTTTGTTATGTCTGCGCCTGTTAATTACTATAACGGTAATGAACAACTCGACTGGTAACGCTAATACGTCTATTGTACGTCCGTTGTTGTGCCTTCTGATTCACTGAGCCACATAAATATCGAAAGACAAAGGCTGGCGCCTGTAACTGTAAGGTATTGTATTATACATTTATTGAGAAATAAAACATCATATTTATCTTATTATTTAGAAATTACTATCCTGATTGGTTGGTGATCCGACAAAGACCAAGGCGAGACAAAAGACGATGAATTGATCTCACACACACTAAATCACAATATGGGTGAGAAGTGATAGATCCACATAGTAACTCCATCACAAAATAAATCATACAATTCGTGAGAAAGTATGATATACTATTTGTATGAGAAGGCCTTCGACAGCGTTGACCGCGAAGTAATTTGGAAACTACTCGAGTACTACGGCGTACCGCAAATATTCATCAACCTTATTCAACAACTGTACGACAACGGCACATGTCAAGTGATCCACAACGGAAAACTCAGCGAAGCGTTTGGAGTAAACACAGGAGTCAGACAAGGGTGCTTATTATCACCAATGATATTCCTAATTGTGGTGGACTGGATTATGCGTCTGTCAAGGAACTTAGCTCTAAGTTCCTATTTTAACGAAGACACTTTGAACCGATAATGACTATGTACTTGTTTCACCTTTTAATCCAAAACACCAGTATTCCTTCAACAAATTTATATTGTTCGGCAATTAAAGTGAAGACAACTACAAAGTCTACAAACAAATGTTAAGTACAAATGAAGTTATAAAGTACTTTTATTCGTGTTCTTTCTGCCTTCTTCCAACTTGCAAGCGATCGTACCATTCGCGCCTTCTAGTTGCCCACCAATGGCTGCCAGTTCCAGTAAACAAACGTTCAATGTTCACGTCCATTGACAGCATCAGACAGTGGGAAACGAGAAGACAGGGATATCCTGGACCGACGTGAAGAATCTAGAAGACCTGGATTTCGCGGATGATTTATGTTTGATGTCACACAAAATTGAAGACTTACAAGCGAAAACCGACAAACTGGTCGAAGAAACAGCAAAGACAGGACTCCAGGTGAACGAACATAGACAAGACGGAGGTTATGAAAATAACCAACCAACAACAACAGCAGCAACATCTAGCGCCAATCACCATCAACAGGAGGGATTTGAAAGAGGTTAATTCATTCACTTATCTAGGGAGCATTGTCTCAACTACAGGAGGAACGGACGAGGATGTCAAATCGAGAATCGGGAAGGCGAGAAATACATTCATCAACCTGAAACCAATCTGGAAATCTTCGTCACTCAACATCAACAACAACAAAATTCGGATTTTCAATACAAACGTCAAGTCAGTTCTTCTATACGGATGGATCAGAAACTTGGCGGGTCACAAGGAATATTTCCAACAGATTGCAGGCAGACCTTTATCAACAACTGTCTACGCTCTATACGGAAGATCAGATGGCCGGAAAGAACAAGAACCAACAAGAAACTATGGGAACAAACAAAACAGGAACCAATCGCTCAACAAATATGCATGAGAAAGTGGAGATGGATTGGACACTCGCTGAGGAGGCCGTTGGGTGACATCGCGCGTCAGGCCATCGCTCGAGTGGAACCCGAAAGGGAAGCGGTGAGTGGTTCGTCGGTGCAAGGGTGACATGGAGGAGATCGTGTGAAGAGGAGCTGAAACAGTATGGACTAACATGGATGCAGGTGAAAAGTACAGCAGAAGACAGAAGCAAGTGGAGACGTGCAGTTGAAGCCCTATATTCCACTAGGAACCCAATGGAACAATAATAATAATAATTTTATGCTTGGTCCTATCACTTATCTACAGGAAAGTGGAGCTGCGTCACGATTGTCGACGGTGACCAAGACAGGTTCAAACGCTATATGATCCATTCGGATCCTGCAGGCCATGTAGACTGTAGGATTGAAATCAGGATTTCCCAGCTTCCCAGTCTGGTTTTAGGCTCCAAACGTTCAGAATCGCATTTCCACTTTTGTGAAAAGCACCCCAGCCATGCGAAGGTAGTGAAATAGGAATTGTTTAGTAGAGGCAATGAATGTGTGGCTATATAAGAACATTCCGAGAGAAAGAACAGAGTTTACCCATCCTCAGCCGTACAAGGTCGTTTATGAGGACAATACTTTATTGATATATCATCCTATGTAACAATGTAGGTCACTAGTCTGGGAAGTGTAGGGGAATTCAATCGATGAAGTTACAAAGCTGCGTCGATTGAGATGACCAAGACGCGAGTTATTCATGTCACACTGTCTTCTTGCTCATTGAAAGTGTTAGCTGACATAGGATTAGACTAACTGACTGACTGGTTTTAACGTAGAAATTTGAACAGATGTGCAGCAGTTCCAGTTGCCACTCTTTCTTCATGTAGCACACAAAGCATGAGAAGAGAGTAAAGAGAGATTCAAGAAGGACAGAAGGAGAGATAACAGACCGAATTGTGAGTGAGGGAAAAAGAATAGTAATAAGGAAGAACAATAGATTTTTATTGGATATAACTGGCAAATCACAAAGAGTGAGTGCATCTGAGCCAGCCATTGAGAACTATCATTTTGAACCATATCACCAATTGTCTCCAGCCTTCATTGGTTTTTACCATCCCGAGGACACCAACCAGTCAGTCAGGCAGTCTACACCTCCTTACGTGACTGGTTTAAACTAACTGTTATGGATTCGATTCACTGATCAAGCTATGTTTTGGTGAGACCACCAGTAGCTCTTTCTTTTCCAACCTGATTAATCCTTTATCAGTTAGCTGACATCTCCCATCGAGGAAGACTATGGATGGCTAGGCTAGGTATCCGTAACACATGTCCTAACCATCTTAATCGGTGCAGCTGCTTCACAACCTCGTCGATTGATTTCCCCTCCTTACCTAGCCTACTACTTAACCGAAGCCTCACCTCAATATTGCTCACCTTATTATACCACCTCCATATTACAGGAGATAAAACGCAGAAACCTATTATCAAAGACAGCTAGCCAGGCTTTTCATGTCTTCCATTTTAAATAGGCATGTCTCACTCACAGACATAAAGGAGGATAAAGTGGACTGCTAACTACTGAACAGTACACACGTCGTTTGGTCGACAGCCAGCCCGACATCACATCTACTAAGCCAGAGATGGCGTAAGTTGGCAGGTAGATGCCAAATGAGCCTTCTGTATCTGTGCTGAGATTTTGTCAGCGATCAACTCACTGGCGGTGGCTGATGCAACTCCCCAAATAAGTGAAGTGGTCAACACGCTCCATCAACCACTTCACTCCATATCTTTAAGCTATGAATGAGTTGATGTATTCCAGTCCTGTAGCATCATCTTACATTTGACAGCAGGAGAGAATCGCATGCCAATTATTCGCAGATTACTGTTGAGCTCAAGGTGTTCCGAAGACTCTGCATTTTGTCAGCGTCTTTACCTAGGAGGGAGGACTATGTCATCTGCGTATT